CTATCCCACACTGAACCTAACACTAACCCTTACCCTAACCCTTATCCTAACCTTAACCCTCACCCTTACCCTAAACCTAACCCTAACCCTAAAAGTTACCCTAACCCTAACCCTTACCCTAGCCCTTATCCTAACCCTTACCGTAACCCTAACCTCTAACCTCTGACCCTAACCATAACCCTAATCCTAACCCCTAGCCCTAACCCTAATCGTGCTCAAATCGAGCTCGAATCGCTGTCGACAAACCTGGAAATGTGGAGTTTTGTTCCGCCACTACCAAGGAAACTCCTGCCCAATCCGGTAATGGTGGTATTGATGATTACCGGATGAACCAGCTAGTGAGAGGTTACACATAAAAACTCGTTGATCTCCTCGCCATTACCGCTATCACCATCATGATCAATGAACTTATGGCCGCTGTCGTCGTTGATAAAATGTCATTTTTCAGGGTCTAGAATTGCTGTATCCAATGAATTAACGGGTCATTCATATATGAACCCCGTAGACGCAAAAAGCAAATGCATGCGACGAAAGCGATCTTGTTACATTTAGTGGCAAGGAGCGACACGGCAATTTGGAATTGTCCTTTAAGATTAAATTTTGAATTAACATTGTTCAGTGTCAGCCCTTTTCGTGAAGAAAGGCGCTGTGCAGAGTCTTAGGACGGTTAATGCGTTCAACAGGCATTTGTTGAATCAACGAAGCACGAGAATGGGGTGGAAAGGAGAAGTGAACAAATTCACAACAAAAATACTCCATATGAGAGAGCGGGTAACTGGACTGACAAAACGACATTTTTTAAGTTAGTAGAATGCAAATTCGCATAAAATCGTCCCACTAGCAGGAGGAAGCAGTTGGTTACGTGTGTCTGTCCCAACTCTATGCCAAATCAACAGATTGCAGCACTCAGTGTATTTTACGAATGTCATGATAATAAAGAAGCCGATTCATCAGGAAAACGGTTGTGACTAGTGTAGGGAAAGGAGGAGACAGCAACACGATCCATGTGCGAAAGCAAGAAGCCTTCATCTCAAGCATCTTGCATATTCTAAAGAATGCTTCAATCAGTACGCAACTTGCGGTAGCTCTTGTAATATTAATTCTGAATATTTAAAAGCTACACGGAACACCCACGCTTATGTCTGCAATCAGATCAGGTGGGTGGGTGTCATTTTCGCTTGAGTGAACACTCCCGAGCGCAGGCAGCACGACGCGAGCGAAGGGAAGATCACTTCAATCTGACCCTCGTTCCAAAGGCGGGTGGAGATAACCTATCAGTTGGCAACCTTGTAAGCCATTACTGTTAGTATCTCGGGATAGTTTTAAAGGGTGTTTTACTACCTGTTGTGAAAAACAAGGAGTTGGATCAAGCCGACTCTTTCGTCTACCGCATCCCAGTAACCTGTCCGAGTCCGACCGGCTGGGGGCGGGTAAGACCGGACACAGATTATGGCGAGACATAAATCTTCGCATAATTCGCAGAACACGTCTAGGGACCTAAACACAGAACAACGCATCCTATGTAGCACCCAAGTAGTTCTCGCGTAAAAGGGCACCTACTGTTAAATGTCAGAAGCCGCGACAACACCCTGATACCTCTGGAGGGGTTTTGCCGTGAAGGTGTCCAGCTACTATGCTTAGAATGATGAATCAGCAACCGAACGTGGGTAACTAGTGGATTAAAGCTACCGACAAGCAATTCTCTAACTGAAGAGTTGCTACGTTTTCGGGCCCAAACCCAACAACGCAGCCTATGTCGAACCCTGTTGCTTAACAAGACACCTACTGTTCAATATCAGGAGTCGTCGCGACGACACCCTGACACCTTGTTAAATAGTGTAAAATTTTCCAATATGAATGAATAGCATAAACAGCGGAGGGGGCTTGTTCTACCAGAACTTGAGGGGCCAAATGAAAGGGTGAAGCGACGCACCCTCAGCAGCTGTTGTTCAAGGAAGTCATTAGAGGAGTAGAGAGAGGCCAAGTGGTCGTAGGCGTAGGGCGCAGTAACCATGGTCAGGGTGTCCACTGAGGTGACCGTGCCACTCAGGAGGTCACTGATGAGGTTTGCCAACTCCTTCTTGTAGACTTGTGAGATGAGTTGAATTGCGTTAGGCCGCTAGCAGGGCGAACAAGTACACAAAAAATGAGGAAAATTAATTTGAGACAAAAAGCAGGCAAGCAAGTTTATCGAGCACTGAAAAATAAGTATATATCAGAGAACGAAATCAGTAATTTCTAGAAAACTGCATGGCAGGCTTCATTAGAATATGCAGCTTACCTGAATTGCCGAGGCTGTGCCATATATCACACCAAGCATGAGTTTTCCCAACGAAACGAAGTCTGCGAGCTGGCAAAAAATGAGTACGAGTTTAGATGGAGACCACTTTCGGGTTAATAATCGTAGGGACATGGAAAAAGTTCGGTTGGAGGGTATAAAGTGGGAAAAATAAAAGTTCTTGCATTGTTATTTCTAATTCGTCTTTTAAGATAGCTCTAATCCAACTGAGAGCCCCCGCACTCAGAATATGTTCACACACCATCGAAGAAAACGTGGTTCAGACGAAGTGCGGGTAGCTAGATGATGCCAAAAGGCAAGACAGAGAAAAAAATAGCAGCTACAAGTAATTAGAGGGGGTACGTTCCACACTATAAATATACCAGGTCACCGATAC